TTTTTTTTTTTTTTTTTTGTCTTTTTTTTTAATTCTCACCTGAGGATATTTTTTCATTGCTTTTCAGAGAGAGTGGAAGGGAGAGAGGGAGAGAAACATTGATGTAAGAGAGACACATCTATTGGTTGCCTCCCCAATAAGCCCTGACCAGGGCCAGGGATCGAGCCTGCAACCAAGGTATGTGTCCTTGGCCAGAATTGAACTCAGGACCTTTCAGTCCGAGGGCTGACGCTTTAACCACTGAGCCAAACTGGCTAGGGCTGTGAAGAACAATCTTGAACATAAAACTCTGAACATATGCAGAAGTCAGTCCAGAAGCTCATAGACGTATAATTGCTGGGTCAGTGTGCCTGAGAATTAAAAGTTTTTCTAGTTATTGCCAAACCATCCTTCAAAGAGCTTGCCATCGTAGAACCCACCAAAGGTGTTTGAGACATGGGTTCTTTTACTTATCAGAAAAAAACAATAGAGCTATTTTCATGGGGGTTTCTGGGGTAGGGAGTGCAGGACAAGCAAGCAGTAGGTCCAGTGGTGCCTGGCTGTCTCCTCGGTATGAAGTGGGCATGGGTCCCGCAGGTGGCTCATCCTACCCGGATATCATAGTGGTCCTTCAGGCCGTCCTCCACGTGGTTCAGGAACTCGCAGATGTCCAGCTGGCCCAGACAGCTCTCAAGCAGTGAGTACATGCACTCAAAGGCCGCCTTCCGCACATCCAGCCCATCATCCACTGTGTGCTTAAAGGGCCCCATCTCCACCTGCAGGAGGGGAGAATGACAGATTAGGGGATGTGACCTTAGATTGTAGGAACACCTCCCCTAGTTCCTGCTGCATACCCCACATCTGTTGTTCAGTACTGTGTCTCATGCTTTATATTCAAGTCTGCATGCCTTTGCTTAGCCGACAATGCCCTTTCATGATGATAACAATAAGAATTACCATTATTATAATCTACTGAGCAGTTATGATGTACCAGGCACTGTGCTGAGTGCTTGACAGATCATTGTATGATGATTTCTGTTCAATAACCTTTAATCTCTGCCCTTTAAATCCTTACTTCACCAACTGGGCTATAACTAAATTAAATAATCAGCAGAGTGGGTGTTTCCTTCAGGAGGCCATGAGCTCCCTGGTACAGAAACCATGTCTGGTCCAGCTCTGAATCCTGGCACTCAGACACTGGGCTGGTGCTCCGCAACCATTTGCTGAATGTTGAGTGATAACAAGAGTCACCAACATTGACCGAGTGCCCACTGTATACCAGGAGCAGTTCTGAGCACCTACAGGACTCAACTCACTGAATCTTCTCAATCACCCTATGATGCACACATGATCATTTTGCACACTTTGCCTGTGAGGAGGAACTGAGGCTCAGAGTGCGTAAGGTTGCCCTGGCAGGGTCACACAGCTGGGAAGCGGAGGAGCAAGACTTGACTCAGTCCATGGGACCTGGTCATCCGATGAGCTGGACCCTGGTCCTCACCACAGCCCCACCAGTCAGACCCAAAGGCTCCCACTCAGCCCTCCCCCAGCCTCACCTCTCGGATGAGGTCCCGGCGGATCTTTGTCTCCTGGTAGAGAAGGGGCAAGATGTCACCCAGCAGGTCCCGGACCAAAGAGGGCTTGTTGTGCACAGCAGAGTTGAAGAAAGTCAGAGTGGCCCGGCGCACGTTCAGGTCTGGGTCCTGCAGGCTCTCCATGAGCTCTCCTGGCAGAAAGATGAGGGGGGTGTGAGGGACGGCACAGTCAAGACACAAACCACTTCTACCCTTCCCTCCATTACCTGGTGCATGTGAGTCAAGCATACCTGGCTGAACGGTCAGACATGTTACGAGCATCTACTTTGTACCATGCACAGCAAGCCTTCAAAGTCCAGATAAGAATGTGGACTCGAGCCTTGGCCAGTGTTGCTCAGTGGTTATAGTGTCGGCCTGCACACCAGGGGGTCGCGGGTTCAATTCCCAGTCAAAGGCACGTACATACCTGGGTTGCAGGTTCGATCCCTGCCCCAGGTCGGGGCACGTGCAGGAGGCAACCAATCAATGTGTCTCTGTCACATCAATGTTTCTCTCTCTCTCTCCCCCTCCTCCTTCCCTTCCCTTTCTCTAAAAATCAATGGAAAAAGTATATTCTCACTCCTTGGGTGAGGATTAAAAAAAAAGAATGTGGACTGGAGCCTGGCCTGGGTTCAAATCCAAATTCTACCACTTCCTAACTCTGGGACCTAGGAGAGCCTCGATGTCCTCATCTTTGTAAAATGGAGGTAATTGCAGTATCTATCCTGTAGCACTGTGTTTATGATTTAAAATGTGGTAGTTGCCCTAGCCGGTTTGGTTCAGTGGCTAGAGTGTTGGCCCAGGGACTGAAGGGTCCCGGGTTTGATTCCAGCCAAGGGCATGTACCTTGGTCGCAGGCTCTATCCCGACCCTGGTCAGGGTACATGCGAGAGGCAATCAATCGATGTATCTTTCTCACACTGATGTTTCTTTCTCTCTCTCTCCCTTCCACTCTCTCTGAAAATCAATGGAAAAAATATCCTCAGGTGTGGATTAAAGAAATAAATAAAAATAAAATAAAATGTGGTAGTATATAGAGCACATAGCAGAGGACCTGGCACAAGGCAAAGATCCTACGAATGTTAACCTGATACTATAGATGAGGCTCCTGAAGATCAGAGAGGTGAAGAAACTTACACCAAGTCACACAGCACTTCCCTAAGTATACCTTTTTGTATAGTTTAGACTTCTTAATAACTGTGTTATTGTTTTATATATTCAATAAATAAATAAAATCGAGAATTGGGAGAGCCCCCCCAAAAAAACAACTAACTGTATTTCAAATGATTAATATAACTGCCTAGGAAATGAAGGAGAAAACAACTCACCCAAGTAACTTCCAAACAAAGAATTCTGATTACATGCTCTCAGGCTAAAGACAAAAGGACTATAAACAAATACTGACTTTTCACAGAGATAAAGGTTACCAATTCTCAGACTACTTTCTGCGTATTCCAAAATTAAGTGAATAAATATCTTTTTTTCCCCACTGATTTTTTTAGAGAGAGTGGAAGGGAGGGAGGGAGGGCGAGAGAGAGAGGTAGAGAGAGAGAAACATCGATGTGAGAAAGACACATTGATTGGTTGCTTCCTGCACGTGCCCCAACTGGGGCCGGGGATCAAACCTGCAAGCTAGATACGTGCCCTTGACTGGGAATCGAACCCAAAACCCTTAGGCTCGCAGACCGATGCTCTAACCACTGTAGATAATAGGAGTTAGGTTTTTCCCTGTAAGAGAAGGGTATTTGGAAAAGGAGGCTAGAACGAACCCTTTGGTGCTGGAGAAGAATAGGAGGTAAAAAATGGGTACATGTGTGTCTGTCTGCATACATATATCCAAATTCTACCACTTCCTAACTCTGGGACCTAGGAGAGCCTCAATGTCCTCATACATATATTTCCTAGTACGTCCTATCTGCTGAGAGGGCCTAGAAGCAATGGCACCCAGTAGCAATAAGCATATATAGTATTCAGATCTTGGACTCTCAATACCACTCTCCACTAAAAGCAATCTTGGCTGCTTGGATAAATGGCTGATTCTAGGGCTGGGGCAGAAAAGATGAGGCTGGAGCATCTTATTGTGCCAAAAAGTAAGAACATGCTCAAAGAATGACGGAAACGTGTCAATGAACATGGGAACCAGCTTGAAGGGCTCCCACGTGCCAAATCTGAGACAATCTTGAGAATCAAAATAAATAAAGACAGTAACCCACTGAACGAACTAGGACTCTATGAGTCTATAATGATATGGATAAAACAACAAATAAGTAAATACATGGGGGAGAAGAAAATGTTTTTCCTGAGAATAAAATGCAAACTAATGAATATAGAAGGAATGTTGGAATTAAAAAGTTGCCATCTGGCAACTGTCAGTAATCCCTGATTCAGACAAGAGACCACAATGAATACAAAACATAGTGGGCAAAATTTGATAAGGAAGAGGTATTTCCATAGGCTAACACATATTTATTCATTCCAAAGGAAAAAGAGTAACTTTAGGGTGAAGAAACCTACAAATCTCCACCTTAACGAGGTGATCGGAGTTACCATCACTAGACACAGGACAAACTGCCATCACGTGCCTCCCGATGTCACGCACTGGGGAAAATAAAGTCTCCCAGCACAGTGGGATTCTAACCCAGGGCCTTAGTTTTCTCGTCTGTAAAATGGGGCCAGTCCTACATTTCACACAGGGGGTTTTGAGAATTAACTGTGATGAGTTATATTGAAGGATCTAGTGTGGTACCTAATACACAGTGAGAGCTCAAAAACTGGTTCAAACATACAACAACAAAAACCAAACACCCAGGTGGAGGCCGCTGGGGTCGCAGCCATGGGCAGCTTGGGCAAGATGAAAAAAACAGGGCTAGGGGCAGTGTGCACCCACTGGGTGAGGACACAGGATGAAGTCACTGCTGATGATGTTGCTGTAGCTTCTGGACATGTTCTCCAATTCTAAGCGTAGTCAAATCTGCTGACCCCTTCCTTGGTTTCATACAATGGTGCCCCAGCATGTGGAGCTTAGCACCCCCATTTTATGGCTGAGGATGAGATGATCCATCCATATTCACACAACCAGGGAGTGGCAGAGCCAGGATTTGAACCCAAGGCAGACTCCAAAACCTCTCCACAGTCCAGTAGGCTGCCCAGTTAAAGACCCATAGATGCCCTGGCTGGTGTGGCTCAGTTGGTTGGGTATCTGAAAGGTTGCTGGTTTGATTCCCAATCAGGGCACATGCCTGGGTTGTGGGCTCGATCCCCAGGAGAGGCATTCAGGAGGCAGCAGATCAATGTTTCACTCTCACATAGATCTTTCTCTCCCTCCCTCTCCTGTCCTATCTAAAATATCAATAAAGATATAACAAAAAAACGAAAACAAAAAGAGACCCACAGGTTTGGAGCTCTGAAGTGAGCCTAGTCTTGCAGAGGCCCAAAGGGAGGGGGGCTAAGCCTCCTCTCAACAAAGGCTGCTCTGGTCCCTCAAGCTAAAAGGCCCCTCGGACATTGACAAGTAAGTCAGGGAGCCACTCTCTCCCGTCCCAGTGCAGCCCTGCCTAGCTTGGTGCCCACTGAAGCCAGTACATTTTGAGGGGTTGGTAGCTTTCCACTTCTAAGAGCCTATGTGTTCATGGAACACTTTCCCCCTCAACTACACATGGAATCTCCAAAACCTTAGAACTACTGATTTTCATGTCCCCATTTTACAGATAAGAAAACTGAGGCTCAGAGGTGATAAAGGGCATGCTGGGCTCACCCAACAACTCAGTGGCAGCACAGGGACTTGAACCCAGGCTCTGCTGCTGTCATGGGAGTGAGGTGGCCTCCTGAGTCTCCAACTCCCTTCAGTTAACGTGTAAGAAAAATCAGCCCAAGTTCAAGGGCTGTGGAGGGGACTGAATGAAGCTAGGGGCCAAGGGGATGCTCTGCTCACCAATAAAGCTCTTCAGGAGGGGGTCAATGGGATGAGGCTGGTCCGAGATGAGGAATTTGACCGCTGTGATGACAGTGCTCCGGGTGTGTGGCTGACCTGCAGGATAAGAGGCAGTAGCTTGAAGAGGGGCGGTGCCAATCCTGGATACCCACAGGTCAGAAGGTGCCAAGACTGTCCTCTGCCTCCATGGAAGACAGAAATATACCCCACCCCACTTGAAACTCCCCTCAATCTTTGGGAAAGTCAATGCTACCATTTCCCTTGGTAGCCTAGAAACTTCCCTGAATTCTTTCTGCTGTGGCCGAGAGAGTAAAAGTGTAAGTGTGCAGGTAGCCACACTGTCAGATACAAACCGAGAACCAAGAACTCAAGAGCCAAGAACCCAACCTAAAGAAACCTTTACTCAGGCCTTGGGACTGCATCTATTTTTCAGACACATTATTTCAGTTAATTCTCAGAATTGTCCTATTGATAATAATATATATTAATTAAAATAACTAATAAAATTATTAACCTGTTTTATATATGAGGAAAGAGAGACCCAGAAAAGATAAGTCATGTCTAGGGTCACACGACAGATCCAGAGTTCTGAGCCTTGGCTGGGCTCTCCTCCCCAGCCCTGCATTCTCCAAGCAGGGGGCAGCTGTACTTTAGGCAGGCTGAAGGCCAAGGGGATTCCAACAGAATTCAGAGCATCTCCAAAGTTTGGGAATAAAGAACTCGCTTAGTTTTGCTTTTCTGCTTGCTTTCTGAGTGGAGAAGCTGAAAAAAGGGAGGGAAATACACTTCCCATTGGGTGAAAGAAATAAATCAGCAGCTGCCCCACATGCTTCTCAGTCTCTTCTCTAAACTGCTCACATTCTACTGGCATGTTTTGCAGAAATAGAAAAAAAAAATCCTAAAATTTGTATTGAATCATGAAAGACCTCAAATAGGCAAAACCATCCAGAGAAAGAAGAAGAAAGTAGGCAGCATCACACTTCCTGACTTCAAACTATAGTATTAAGCTATAATCATCAAAACACCATGGTACTGGCATAAAAACAGACACATAGGACAATGGAACAGAATCAAGAGCCCAGATATAAATACAGGCATATACGGTCAATTAATATTTGACAAGGGAGCCAAGATTATATGGCGCTGATAAAATTGGATATTCACATGTAAAAGAATGAAACTAGGCCCTTATCTTATAGCACTCAAAAAAAATTAACTCAAAATGGATTAAAGACTTAAACGTAAGAGCAGAAACCATAAAACTCCTAGAAGAAAACATAGGAATAAAGCGCCTTGACATGGGTCTAGGTAATGATTTTTTGGACATGACACCTAAAACACAAGCAAAAAAATAAAAAAACAAGTGGGACTACATCAAATTAAAAAGCTTCTGCACAGCAAAATAAACCATCAACAAAGTGAAGACAACCTATGGAATGGGAAAAAATATTTGCAAACCATGATAAGGGGCTAATACTCAAAATATATAAAGAACTCATAGAACTCAATAGCAAGTAACATAATCCAATTTAAAAAATGGGCTAAGGACCTGAATACGTTCGTTTGTTTGTTTGTTTGTTTGTTTTTCAAAAAAAGATACTCAAAAGGCCAACAGGTACATGAAATGGTGCTTGATATCACTAATCATCAGGGAAATGCAAATCAAAACCACAATGTGTTATCACCTCGCACCAGTTGAAATGGCTGTCATCAGAAAGAGAAATGTTGGCCAGGATGTGGAGAAAAGGGAACCGTTGTGCACTGTTGGTGGGGATGTAAACTGGTGCGGCCACTATGGAAAACAGTATGGAGGCTGATCAAAAAGTTAATAATTGAACTACCATAGGATCCAGCAATCCCGCTGCTGGGTATATATCTAAAGGAAATCCCATCGCTATCTCAAGAGTTATCTGCACTCCCATGTTCACTTCAGCATAATACCATAAGACACAGAAACAACCTAAATGTCATCAACAAATGAATGGATAAAGAAAATGTCACACACGCACACACACAGTGGAATATTATTCAGCCACAAAAAGGAAGGAAATCCTGCCATTTGCCACAACATGGATGGATCTTGAGGGCATTATGCTATATGAAATAAGAGAAAGACAAATACTATATGATCTCACTTATATGTGTAATCTGAAAAAACCAAACTCATAAAATCAGAGATCAGATTTGTGGTTGCCAGAGACTGGGGCGGGGAGAGGGGGGGCAAAATGAATGAAGGTGGTCAAAAAGATACAAATTTCCAGGTATAAGCTAAATAATTTCTGGTGATGTAATGCACAACATAATGACTGTAGCTAACAGTATTGTTTTGTATATTTGAAAGTTGTTAAGAGAGTAGATCTTAAAAGTTCTCACCACAAGGGAAAAAAATTTTATAACTATGAGAGTTGATGGATGTTAATTAAACTCACTGTGGTAATCATTTCGCAACATATACATACATCAAATCATTATGCTGCATTCCTTAAAACTAATACGATGTTCTATGCCAATTATATCTCAATAAAACTGGAAGAAAAAAAATAAACTGCTTGCTTCTCTCCACGTCCCCCCACTATTGCCCAGCATATAACAGTAAGTGGGTTAAGGCTGTTTCTATCACAAACTTTATGTTCGAGACTCAGAAGAAAGTTTACAATTTGGTGTGAGTGAATTACAGAATTCAGACTTTTGGTTTTTCCCTCCTTCTCATTCTATCCTGACTGGCTCTTAAGATGACTGGAGTTGGCTGATGAAGATACGCAAATAGAACAGGATTAAGTGAATTTAAAATAAGAAAAACAGGACAAGGCAGGGAAGTGAGTTGGAGACTAGAGTAAGGGGCTTGCAGAGAGAGGCAACTGAGAAGTCCCATGAACTCGCCAGAAGCAGGGCCACTAATTTGGCTCTGAATTTTCTTTCCTACTATGTGACTGGTTAGCTGGCTCAACAGAATGCATGAGGCAGAAACAAATCAGAGCTTAGAAAAGGCAGGGCTGCTCCTCAACCCAAGACTCGCCTCTCAAGGGTCCTTGTGAAGAGCCCTGTGAGTGTAATGGGGAATGTCCTCAGGGAATGTTCTTCCTGTCCACACAGGAGTGAGAACCACACAGCTGCTTCTTGTAAACCCAGCAAGGGCTCACCATAATCACCAGCACAGCAACGGCAGCGGTTATTCAGTGTCGATCAGGTACCACAGACTATACAAAGCACTCTGCCTGCGCTATGTGAACTGACACATCCACTGACCCTATCAGGGACCAGCTAGCTGACCAGCTCCAGGCCTGGAGACCTTTCGTTCTCAGGGGCCCAAATAGCCCCACAGGTACACCTATATGCTTTCTTTCTCTCCGAGCTGTGGAACACCCCGATGTCCCTGATCTGACCACACACAACCTGCACCCTGGTTACTGCCTGGCCCTCTCCAAACCCCAGGGCATGGCATCCGATCTTAGCCTACATTTCCATTTGCTCCTGGCTCAAGCTAGCCCAAAAGAGCTGCACTCCGCAGCTGCAGTTTCTGGTCCAAGAGAACTACTTTTATTACCCTTCGCCTGGAACATGAAGCTGCTGTCCACAACAAGGATTCTGAAAGTGGAATCATGAAAGGTTTATTTGTTGAAGATCAAGGATTCTGTTCCCTCCGTCCCAGAGCATCCCACAGGAGGAAGCCTGTAAGTCTCAGGAAACAGTGTTTAATGACTCCTCTGCCCTTATCTTATACACATCACGACTCTCAGACCTAATCACTGGAACTAGCTCGCTGTGTGGTATGCTCAGATACTCAGGGGCAAACTGCCCACCAATGACCTGGGCCGCCTCTGCCCACACCTGTGCCCCTACCTGCAGCAAGTTGCTTCCGGAATCGGGGCAGAAGGAATGGAGGGTTCACGAGAACAAGCTTTCCAATGCACTCGGCCACTACCCCCCGGGTGCCCTCCTCGGCACTCTCGCAGTGCTGGAACAGCAGAGCCCAGATGTCCTCTGCGTAGGGCTTCAGGCTGTCGGGCTGGGCAGCGCCCAGGGCCTCCCTGAGCGAGTGCAGCAGCAGGTACTGCTTTCGGGGCTCAGCCTTGATCTGTCCCAGTAGGAAGGGCAGAAAGTCGGACAGGTTCCCAGCTCCCACACGCCCTAGTGCGAAGGAGGCTGCAGCCCTCACGTCTTCACTGGGCGACCCCAAGGCTTCCAGGAGCACTGCCTTCAGCTCCCGCTGGGGGCCAGGCCCGGTCACCTGGCCCACCTCAGCCAGCGACAAGAATGCCAGGACCTTGACCCCCGTGCTGGAGTTGGGTGACTTGGCATCGCAAACCAGGCGGTTTGCCATGCCTGCTGCCTCCTGGGGACAGGCAGCTGTGAGGGCTGCCACACACCGAGCCAGCGAATGGAACACCTGCTTGTGCAGGCCTGGCCCACCGTCCACAGCCTGGTCATAAACAGGGGCAGTGAGCAGGTCCATGAGCTTAGCGTAGTCCACACACGGGGGCCGGGTCCCCACCAGAGCCTGCAGGAAGCCTTGGGCAGCTGCTAGGACACCTGCTGGCAACAGGGGTGAGCGCAGCAACCGCAGCAGCTCTGAGAGCACAGGGCCACTGACCTCGGCCAAAGAGGCTGGTTGGGCCTGGGTCACCGTGGTTAGAAAGTCCACAGCCAGCTGGGCCACATGCATGTCACTCTCACTGACCAGGGCAGGCAGCTCCGCCAACACGACCCGAACAGCAGCTGGAGGGAGGCTGAGTCCTTGGCTCTGGGCCAGGGCATCCAGGGCAGCCAGCGTGGCCAGCCGCAGTGCCCGCTGGTTCTTGCGCAGGAACGAGGCTAGTATGGGCAGTGACTCGGCCAGGATAGGCTGCAGATCAAGCTGCAGTGGGGACAGAGCCACGAGGGTCAGGGCCTTGACAGCAGGCAGCCGGGTGATCTCATTCCGCAGGCGGTCCAGGAGGAGCAATAGTGATGGCTGCAGGTCATTTCCAAGCCGGTCACCCAGGTGGCCCACAAGGTGGCCCATGCAGGAGATGGCCCGCTCCTTCACCTCCTGGTCCAGGTCGGTGGCACGGAGCCGTGCCAGAGTGGCTGTAGACATCTCTCCAATGTATGGCTCTGGGTCCAGCATCCGAGGCCTATCCAGGGGCCACAGGGCCCGCACCAGCTCCTGTAGCACCAGCAGGGCCTCGGCCGCAATTTTGTAGAAAGGGTCAGACACACAGGCCATTACAGGTGGCAGGAGGGTGGGCAGGTGTGGGTGGAAGGCCACAGCGGGCTCTGTACCTAGCAGCCCCTGCAGGAAGGCCAGGGCATCCATCCGAATGGTGGAGGAGCTAGAGCGGTCCGCCAGTGAGAAGATGATGCCTGCGGGATGGGTGCAAAAATTATGGGCCACAGACCCTGACCCAACACAGCCCTCCCTGGGTATGCAGGTGGAATACCCACAGGTATTAGAGTTAGGTCCGGGCACCTGGGCTCTTATGCAGCAGATTCTAAGAGGTCAGGGTTTGGCTGGGACCAGAACTGAGGGACACAATGCCATTTGAAACCAGGATGTAGGGCCTGCACTCCAGCCTTGTTCTCACTGCTGGCAATGGGGAGCCACCGTATGTTGCTGAATAGGGGCATCCTTGAGGATTGGGGGCTGGATACTGGAAGAGGCCCAGGACAGCAGATGCCAGGTTCCAGTCCATCCTACCTGCTACCAGCACAGGCATGTGCTCTGCCAGGCTGCCGGGGAGGATGCCCGCCAGCTCGGTGAGGAGGCTGAAGCATCCCTGGCGGGCCCTGACACTGCGATCTTTCAGCTGCCGCTGTAGGGCCTTGATCACAAGGGGCACCTGTGGGCAGGTGAGGGGAGGTCAGTGACCACCCAGGGAACTTCCACACCCCACCCACTCTTGAGGGGCTGTGCCCAGGCATGTGCCCATCAGGGATCCTAGCATGGAGAGGATCGCTCTATCCTAACCTTTTCATAATTTGCTCTGTACCGGACACCTGATTCTATACTCAGACCTTCTAAAGTAGGTACTACTCCTAGGCCCACTTTACAGATGGAGAAATAGGTACAGAGAGATTAAGTAACTTTCTCAAAATTACTCAGGCAGTCTGGGTCTCACCACATACCCCAAGGGAGAGGCATTGGGCTCATTCCCTTCCCCATCTGGGTTCTCCCCAGATGAACTCATTCACTCCCCAAGCTTCAGGTGCCAGCGTAGCAATGACTTCAGATCTACACTGTCAGCACCAGACTTGAGTGCTGACTGCCCACCTGATGTCTCCATTTGGACATCTGAGGACCTTGAACACAAATGTTCAGAACAGAACTCTAAACATTGCCCTTTTCATGCTCTGCCACCTCAGGGGACTGCACTCCATGCTTCAGCCAGAGCCTGGAACTCACATGCCACCTCCTTGTCCCTCCCTCCACATCCAATCTGCCAGCAAGACCGGAAAACTGTGTGGTCCAGGGGCAAGGCCTTTATTTGTCTTGTTCCTTGCTGTGCCCCAGGACCTGATACACAGGGCCGCGCACACAGTGGGTGTGCAATATGCACTCTTTAGTGGATGGATAGATAGTGGGGTGGGTGGATGGGTGGAAGATGGATGGACGGATGTGAGAAGGTGGGAGGGTACCTTGTGAGTGGAGGGTAGAAGGGGAGAGGGGTGAAGGCGTGCCCACCTGTTCTTGCAGCTTGTGGAGATTGCTGCCAGTCTGGGTAGGCTCCACGGCCTCCACCCATCCCTTTGGGGGCCGCGTTTGCCGCAGCAGCACGATGTAGGCCCCAAAGACATCGGCCTTGACATTTTCCTCACGTTCCTTGAAGCGGCGGATGAGCGCTGGCGCCAACGTGCAGTGGAAGTCAGGCAACAGGTCAGGCCGCGAGCCGATCAGGGCCGCCATGCACTTGGCTGCTGCTCGGCGCACCTTCCAGCTCATGTCATCGTCGTCACTGTATTCATCCTCGCTCTCTGGGGCAGGAACCAGAGACCCATGGAGCCCTGTGCTCTGTAGCAGATGAATAGGGAGCTGCCTGCCCCACCCAGGTGGTTTCCCAGGATGGAGAGGTGAAGAGGGAGCCAAGCCTGTGTTTCACCTTTTGATGATCATTATTTACACACTACAGGGGTGGGCAAAAGTACGTTTACAGTTGTGAGTACATGAAACAGAGTTTATTCTTGTATTACTGTTTATCAATTATGGTATTTTCCATCTGAACAACTGTAAACCTACTTTTGCCCACCCCTGTATTAGGAATTTTACCTACCATGTAATGAACACTACTGTGTGATAGGGGTGGCATCAAGCATGTCAAATCCACAGCCTCATTTTAGCCTCACAACGACCTTGTGGGACAGGGATTACTTCCCCACTGCAGAGATGAGAAAACTGGGGCCCAGAGGGAAGTGACTGGCCCCAAGTTACATGAGCAGGGAAATAGCTGGAATTAAATCAGGGTCCTCCTCCTGCCTCATACCCTTCTCTGTTTTGACTACACCAGGGAAAACACTGACTTCCAAGTCTTCAATGAGGCCCTAGACAATCCATTTGGGGTACAAAACCTATCCTTTGGTTTCAGGGCTGGCTGTGTGATGTTTCATTTACCGGGATTCCAGAGGGAGAGATAATAGGGCCTCCTTTTGCATTGTCCCACCCTGCCCTGCCCCAGCCTCTCAAGGGTCCTGATTCCTCAGCTTCCAAGCAGAAATGCTGTGTTTGTGTGGCTTCCTACTCTCCCAGCTCCCCTGAGAGGCCAGAGCTCACACAGTGCCTTGAGCCCCGTTTTACAGATGAATAGATGTCTAGAATAATGATCAGATATGGTGAGAGCCCCTCCTGAGGGCACACAGCTAGGGAACTAGAGAGCTGAGATTCAGGCCCACGAGGCCCATCCATATCACCTGTGGAGACACATGAGGCTCAGAGGGGGATGGTCCTAACTAGGAACACCCCAGTCACAGGCTCAGAGGCGAGTATGTGCTTATCCACACTGCTCTGCTGACAACTCAGACTCTCAGAACTGGCATCTGGACAAGCCACAGTGGACCACAGGGATGGCCCCATGTCAGTTTAGTACATGTCCCCTCTGATGGACCATTATTTGTTGCCTCTACCCCATACCATCCATGAAGAAACATCCACAGCTCCCTGTTATGGACAAGAAAAATGCCTGATCTCCCTGGCTTGGCATTCAAGGCCCCAACATGCCTATCCAATCTCATCTCCCACCATCGCATCTCATTCCAAGTACCCCATCAGACCCTAAATCCCTTGCCTCCATTGATGCCCTGCTTTTAGAACCCAGGGGCACCCATCTGAGTTACAAACCGGATTCCTGGGTAAGTGCCTATCATTCTACCATTTGAGCTTCACTTTGCTGGATTAAAGCATTATCTCCTGGAAGCCATGACTAAAAGGGTAGAGATGGCAGTGTCTGACAGACATGCCTCCAAGCCCCAGCTATGCCACTTCCTAGCTGTGTTATCTCAAAGCTGTGTTATCTCAGGCAAATCACTTCGCAAAGTCTCAGTTTCCTTGTATAAAATATGGGGATACTAATGCCTGGTTTTCTAGGGTTACTATAAGGAACATGAAATAAGAGAGTGCTCGGGACACCAGTAGATGCTCAATAAATGTTAGTGATTACTACTATTCTTACTGAGCAGTCAGAAAGGATGGGGACATTGGTGAACCCAGATTATGGAAGGCAGGGTTTGAGGAACAGCTGGAACCAGGATAAGGGCACTAAATGTGGGCCATCTTTGGCTGGGGAAGGGGGTCCCAGTAAGGCTGCACTCATTTCCACCCTCCAGCTCCAATGACAAGTTGGCCACCCACCTTGCTCACTGAATTCACTGTCTTCTGTCTCCATCTGCTCCTCCTCCCCGTCACTGTCATAGTTATAGTTGGGGTCATGCTTCATGTACTGGAGGCACAGGCTGGTTACATTGGACACATGAGGACCCATCTCCTTGGGGCACCTGTGGAGTTGGACAGGGAGGCTCTGGTGGACCCAGGCAGGACAGGGTAGGCAGTGGGGCCCAGTGGCGAGTCCTGAGATCTTACTGCTCTGAGGCCAGCATACTGCCCCCAACCCCATCCCACCAACTTCCCAAAGAAACTCTGGGGCCCCATCTTCCAGCATCCCGCTGCACCTACTTCCTCAGGAAGGCCTCCAAGGCTTGGAGGCAGGACTCCCGGAGCTCATCATCATCCAGGTTGCAGAACTCCTCCACCAGGGGCACCAAGCGGTCCAGGTGGGCCCCTATAAGGCCAGGTGGGTCACTGTGGACAGGAAAGACCCTCCCCCAGGCTTCCCTAGCCCACAGCACTCAATCTGTCCTTGCATCTGCAGCCGTGACCACTGCAAATTCAACTCAAGAGGCTCCAGAATCAAGCAGATGTGGGTTCTAGCTCTGACTCTGTCACCTATGAGCTCTGAGATCTTGGGCATGTCACAACACTTCTCTGACTTTGGTCTACTCATCTTCACAGTAGAGATAACAATGCCTACCAGACAGAGATTTTGTGAAGATTAATATGATGCAGATAAAGAGCTTCGCCCAGGTCCTGGCACAGAGTAGGCACTCAATAAGTAGCATCTGCTGTTGAAACTGTTACTCATGTCCTTGCCTTATTTCCTGTACTAGGTTGTAGCCCTGGATGGAAAAAGGGGAGAAGTAGGTACTGCCCTTATAGACCAGACAAGAGGGACCCTTGCCTGATCCTTGGGCTTTAGAGGGTTCCACCCTAGCCCTTCTCCAGCAACACCCTTCCCCACTTTCCTGCCCAACTGGCCCTGAACCTTTGTCTGGGTCCTGTGCAGGCCTCTTTCCCGAGGCCACGCTCCCAAGAGTAGCCAAGGGGTGGCTGCAGTTTGTCTTGAGAGGGTGGAGAAGAGAAGGGCATGGGAAGTAGATAGAATGTGGATTGCAGTCTGGGGTCCCCATGTGTGCTTGTAAGGTCACTTTCACTGAGAGAACCAGAAGGAAGAGAAGGGCAGACCATGGCCAACTCCATCGACACTGCCTTTTTCTAGCCTGGAACTCCAAGGTGTTTGAGAATAATTTCAAATCTGATTGCAGGATTCCGTTTCCATAAAATTAATTTATGGTCACAGAAAGCAGATAAGTGGTTCCTGGGGTGGGGCAAAGGAAGAGATGGACTATCAAGGGGCACAAGGAAACTTCTGGGAGTAATGGAAATGTTTTGCGCCTTGACTGTGGTAGTTTCATGGGTGTACGCAAAGGCTGAAACACACTGAATGGTACTTTAAACAGTGTGGTTTATTGCATGTACGTTCTTCCAATAAAAACTTAAAAAAATTCAAACCTGGCTTGCAGGTTGTTATTAAGGTATACCTGTCAAAGTAGGATAGAAAAGCTTTTTTTTTTTTTAAATTTTTACTATATGTGCTGCCAAAGCGAGCACTTATTTATTTTTAAAACATGTTTTATTAAAGTTTGGTGGAATGATTTATAATTATCTGATGTTCAGAAGCAGATGGCTCTCAGGGCCCGCCCTCCTCTTCCAAATTCTTAACTGCCAGCCGCCTTCTAGAGGTGGCCCGCCTCCAGGTCCCGCCCCTCCGCCTGGGCCCCCACTCCTTTCCCCAGCACCTCCAGACCTAGACCCCACCTCCTTGCCCGGGAACCCAGTTCCCTTACCCAGGCGGTGGCCTGCCTGGCGGCCTACGCTGCCCAAACACTGGATCAGGGTGCGGATGGCAGCAGGGCTGGCAGGTGCGCGTGGGCCAGGCAGCCGGTCCAGCAGGTGATCCGCGAGCTCCACGAAGAGGTCGGTGCTGCAGGCGGCCGCCAGGTGGCCTAGTGCCCCAACAGCTCGCTTGCGCACTGCCAGGCGTGGACTGCTCAGCTGGGGCAGGAGACAGTGCAGGAGGCTGGCGTGGAAGGCACCCAGCGGGGCGCCCAGCCTGGGGAGCCAGAGGGGACATCAGGCAGGCCCACCGGGCAGGCACCCTGGGCCAGGCACCTCATCACTCCCCATCCTCTCCTGGCCTCCTCCCAGGAATGATGACAACCCTATTGCTCTTGTTAAACGAAAAGGCACCCTGCAACTGTGTGGCTGAATATTTATTATTATTACACAAAGAAAGCAGAGAGGGAAGGGACTTTCTCAAGGCCACCCAGCCAAGAAATGCAAGGCCAGAACTTGAACCCAGGTGTCCAGGCTCCCAGCTTGGGAAGACCTAATGGTAATAGGTGCAGGGGGCTACAGTGGGGCTGTCCTGATTTCCTGGGGTTCTGGGTCTTGCCTCAATGTCCAGCTCCCCACACACCACTGAGACCAGAGTGGTCTAAAATTTACCTCTGACCTGGTCACCCCTCTGCTTATCTCCCTCACACTCCTTCAATGGCTCCCCACTACCCTTTGGATAAGCTGAGCTCTGGGCTCAAGGCAAGAGGCAACACAAGAGAACGGTTTCTGTACAGGTAGAAGACAGCCCCTGACCACCTTAACAGCTTCTATCCTCACCTTCAGACCAGGCCTGTACATTTTCTGTCCCACACATGTCCTAAGACCTTTTCTTCTCTCACTCTACACCAAGGGTGGGGAACTTCCAGCCTGTGGGCCGTATATGGCCAGCGAAATCATTTGGTCTGGCCTTACCAAGGCAACTGTAGGCAAGACTCGGAATTTAATAAATCTAGATTTGTTCATAGCTAATTTTTAAGTTGATAATTTTGTATGGCCCGCGAATGATGTTATAAATATCCAAATGGCCCTTGGCAGAATGAAGGTTCCCCATCCCTGCTCTGCACTAACACACTGACCTCATCTTCCCATATCTTTCCATCCAGCCCAGATCGCTCTTTTGGGTTTCATTTATTTATTTATGTGTTTACCTACTTGTGATAGGGCCTGTGCTGGGAGCTGAAGTGAGCAAGACAGACTCTGCCTTTAGAACCTGCCCTTATGGAGTTTTCAGTTGAGTGAGGGCCTCCCAGGCACCTCAAATTCAATATGCCCGAAGCTGAATCCATTTTCTTCTCCACACCTGCTCCTGCTCCCAGAGGTCACCCCACCACAGCAATGGCCCTGTGTCTGTGGCCCAGGTAGTAAAGCCAGACACCTGGGCATCATTCTTGAGTCTTTGCCTCTCTCACCCACTCCAAGCCCTGTGGAGTCTACTTCTCAAATACAATCTGAATTCACTTGCCCACAGAAGCCTCCAAACTAGTCTCCCTGCCTGTTCCACCCCTTCCCATCTACCGTACACACCGAAGATAGGACAATTAATCTAAAACTCACAAATATGCACACAGCATTCTTCATTCCCTGCCGCAAAACGCTTCACGGGCTCTTCACACCTCTGGTATAATTATTAGTCACCTACCCCTGGCTCCTTCCCAGCCCTCAGGCCTCATCTCTCCATACCGGCCCCTCCACAGTACACCCCAGCCCATGACTGCCTTGCATAACCCCTGGGACCCCATGTCTCCTCCTGCCTCTGCTCTCTGGGCCAAGGGCAGTTTCCTCCTCCATTGTCCCCAATACTCCTGCCCATGCTGGCCAAGTCCTGCCCATCCTTGAAGGCTTATCTACCAGGACTCTCTCTAGGAAGCCCTCCCCCCCAAGCTGGGTTGGGGCCTCCTCCTCTGAGCTCCTACAAACGCTGCTCTTATCCTTATTGCTGTTCTTAGTCTAGTCACAGTTGAGGTGTCTGAGAGCTCCTTTCTAGGAAGGACCACGACTGAGCCACTCCACATTTGCAGCACTAGTCCGGCACCTGACATTTCTCTGGCCACAAAGTAGGTGATCAAATCTTGGGAGGTTGAATAAATGAATGAATGCTTTTAAAATGTGCAGTAGAATTTAAAACAAAGGCCCAACTATATTAGCTCAAAAGAAAGAGAAAGAAAGAAGGGGTTGAGGGATAGGATGAACCCACCTGGGTTTCAGCTATGGAGAGGCCTGAGTTTAAATCCTTGGAGAGACCTGAGTTTAAATCCTAGGTTCCTTTTTTTTTTTTTTAATCCTCACCTGAGGATATTTTTTCCCATTGCTTTTCAGAGAGAGTGGAAGGGAGAGAGGGAGAGAGAGAGAGAGAAACATCGACGCGAGAGTGACACATCAATGTGACAGTGACACACCAATTGGTTGCCTCCTGCACGAGCCTCAACCAGGGCGGGGGATCAAGCCTGCAACTGAGGTACATGCCCTTGGCCGGAATCGAACCTGGACCCTTTAGTCCATAGGCCGACTCTCTAACCACTGAGCCAAACTGGCTGGGGCACAAGTCCTAGGTTCTGCCATTTACTGACAGTGTGACTTTGGGCAGGCCACATCATCTCTTATAGCCTGTAAAATTGTGACAAATAAGTTCTCCTTTGCAGGGCTGCATGGACAATTAAGGAGCCCTGAGCACAGAGTCTGGTGTGCAGTAGGTGGGCTCTGTGGATTTAAATCCTTCCCTGTCCCCTTTGCTCCCCCTTCTACCCCAGTCCTCCTTGCCTGGGGAGGCCTCCCGCACCTGCTCAGCATGTCAGAGAGGATGTCCAGGGCTTCCAGCTGCACAGCCACGTCCTCCTGCTGGGCAATGGCACTGGTGAGTTGGCCGGTGATCTTCCGGCACACGTTGGTGGCCAGGCCGGAGCCTGCACAGAGCACAAGGTGGGCATGGTAAGGTGCAGGGCTGGCCTCTACCTATGGTCAGCCTTTGCTCTGCTGACCCAGGGAAGCTAGGGCCTGAGTGGTCCCATGCTTGACCCAAAGTCCTCACCAAACTAAAGGTGACAGTTTGGGGAGCTAGAACTGATGACCAACCTGCCGGCTGGCTCACCCCATACCCGACCCCTCCTTCCACTAGGGTGAAGGGAAAAGTTCCTTTCCTGGACTCCCTTGCTGCTTAGAGGGACCAGATGACCCCATTATGGCCAGGGAGATAGAGGTCCAAATCTTCTGGAGGCTTCTGGGGAAACACATGTCTTTCTTATAAAGGGCAAGAGACCTGGGCAGAGATCCAACCCTTGCCATTCCATTGCTGCAAAATTGGAATGGCTGATCCCCTATTTCTTCAAGATGCCATGAGCTAGATTTTGTAACTTGCAGCTAAAAGCATTCCTGACACAGAGCCATGAACTTAAGTAGACAGGGGTCTGAATTCTCTGCCACTGACTAGCTGGTTGACCTTATGTAAGTCCCTTCAACTCTCTGAGCCTCTGTTTCTTTAACCATAAACTAGGACAAATAATTATAGCACCTAGTCCCTGGGACCTGCGTACCTGTGGCTGCAGGGGGTAGCTCTGACAGGACGGTCTTGAGGCCAATGCCAGCAATATCTCGGAGCTGCTCCTTGTCTGACCGCATGTTGGCACAGAGAGCGTCCACGATGGTCTCCACCTGGTACTCCTTCACTTTGCCCACCAGAGGACCCAGGCTGAGCAGGTAGGGAGGGAGGGGGTTGAAAAGCCCCAGGCTCAGACTGAGTCAGGCTGCCCCATATGTCCCCTCAAGCCCATGGGGCTACATGTACTGAGGAAAAGGCCCTGGATCAACATGAGACTCCCATTTTGCCAGAAGGATAGGCACTCTCTGGTTATGCCACTGTCGTTCCTGGCACCTCCATCTCCTCCTGTGTTTTGCAACTCAGTATACGACCAAAATATCAAACCCTGTAACCTCAGCTGGAAACTAAGGAATGCCCAAAAGCAGTGGTTCTCAAACCAGAGCATGTATCAGAACCCCCTGGAAGACTTGTTAAAACACAGATGGCTGACACTCCTCGCCCCCCAGATTTTCAGATTCAGAAGGTCTAGGTGGGGCTCAAGAATCTGCATTTCTAGCAAGTTGCCAATAGATGCTGACGCTATGCTTTATAGCCTTGCTTCTCAAAACGTGGTCACAGATCATCAACATCACCAGAAACTTGTCAGAAATGCAGACTCTCGAGTCCTACCCTAGAGCTACTGAACCAGAAGCTGCATTTTAACAAAGTCCCCAAGTGATTCAAATGTGCATTAATGTTTAAAAACAGCTACACTATGTGCACTGGTGATTCTAGCATGCAGTCAAAGTTGAGCACCTCTGACCTAAAGGAGTGGTTCTCTGATGTCAGTATGCATTAGAATTCAAATTCTCACCTGCCTGCCTCAGCTCCCACCCTCCACCCCTCTGGATCCTGAATCTGAATCCCTGGATGAGGAATACACAGTTTCTAACAAGGGTCCCATGTGACCCCAATTCATGCCAGTTTGCAAATCTTGGCCCCTCCATTTAAGTCATGGGACCTCCCATTCTACCTCCTACAGCGTTGGTTCACAATAGGGTGTGACACTGCCCCAAGGGGTGTTTTGAAAATTTATGGATCATTTTTGGTCATCATAACTAATGAGATGGCACTTCTGGCTTTTATTGAAGGTGGGGGGAGGTGGCCAAGAATGATAGAAAGACAACATTGCAAAGCAAATCACATTCCAGGTGCTGGTGTTTCTAACATCCCTCTGGACATTTGTACAGTTAAAAAGCCTATCTATAATCACCTGAGTCCAGAACCTAATTTCATTTTACATACAAACATAAAGTACTTTTTGCACTATTTTAATATACCCTACATTTTCCAAGAATGTAATTATCAGGTAAACTGAAGGAAGACTGTACTTTGTTTTCTGGGAAACTTTACAAGGAGATAGTCACCATTTCAGAAAATCTTCACTAAGAGCAATGCCACTTGTGGTATCTGAGTCCCCAACATCTCCACCTGTCCCCACCTGCTACTGCCATGGCACTGACAGTAAGCCTACACTGAGGTGCAGGCTCCTCATGACTTCATTATCACTCTGCTCTCATCAGGCCCGAGCACTTACTGAAACACGTGCTATTTTACTATGAACCACATTCCTTCTATATCTTTCTGTTACAGCTGAGGGCATTATATATATAACTTTGAAATTGTGTAGAGGCAGGTTATAATATGTATGAATTTTACTTCATGAGAGGAAGAGGGTATTTCAGACTACCTGTTGTAAAAAGGGGATATTGGTTGTGCTGATGGGAAACCAGAGCCCACCCTATCTCTACTCCACACCACACACCTGACCATGTCACATTCTGGCATAAAACTCTTTACTGAATTCCATTTGCTCTTGAGATCAAGTTGAAATCTGTTAACATGGCCCAGAATGCTTGGGTCCAGTTCCCAGAGTAATGCTATAGAGGCAGTGCCCCAATTCTTTGTTAATTATTGACACTACCCACCCCCACCCCCCATCATCCTGTACATACCCCATCTTGTTCTTTCAGCTCTGGAGGTAAGTAGCCAAGATCTCAGGACCACAGCCTCATAATGCCAAAGGCAAAGGCTTCTGGGACAACCATGTCCCTTTAGCTCTCACCACTCTGGTACATGCCAACCTGAACTTCCAGTGCCAGCACCTGCATCTGTGCCTGAGGGCTTTCTCTGGCTGGAGGTGCCAGGGAATGCATCACCCATCACCCTACCCAGAAGCAGCCCTCAGCCAAGGACTGACAGAGAGCTGGCAAGTGGAAACACTCTAAGGGGCCCTCAGTAGGGTTAAGCTCTGCTTGCCCACAGCAGTAACTTGCTTGATGACACAGGCTTTATTGGCTTTCTTCCTTCCCTGCCTCACTTCCCTATTCCTGTACTGGATTTTCCTGGGATCACCTCTCAAATAAACTTACAACTGAATCCTTACTGTTGAATCTACTTCTGGGCTAACCCAGACCAAGTCACTGTCCAACTCTACTGGGACTCCAAGAGCTGCTTAGCATTTCTTCTCTCAGAGACTGTACCCCAAAAGGGAGCTCCCACACTAAGGGAGCATAGCCAGAAGGTGACCAACGCCGACACTCACCACTTGACTGCCAGGTTCTGCACCTCACCATTCTTGTCCTCCAGGAGCCTAAGCAGCATCTTTACTACCTTGCGCTCACTGTCCTCATCAAGCTGGATGGAGTCCTTCTGCAGCTCTGACATCAGGTCACTGGTGGCCATGAACCTGGGCAGGGAGGGCAGAGGAAGATTTTCAAGCAGCTTCTGGGCCCTAGTGATTTGGGAAGATATTTGAGTTCCCCCAGAAGCGGACCTTGATACAAAAATTTGAGGGAAAGCAGATTATCAGGGCTGTGGGTACAGTCAGGCGACCGCCAGGAGACCCGTGTATGAGTGACACCAACTGCCACATTGTGGCCAACTAGGAGTGGCACAGCATACTAACTAAATGGTTAGGGCTTCAAGGTTGGTGGCTCTTGCGTCTGCCAGTTACACAAATGTGAACTTGTGCAAGCTGCTTCACATTTCTGAGCCATACTTTACCTGTCTGAAAAATGGGGATGAGAATAGTACCTGCCTCATGAAGATAAAAGGAGATAATGCATGTGATGTGTTTAGCACACAGTGAGCACTCAGTAAATAAACACTCAGTAAGTGGCACTGACATTATTACAAAGACACTGTACAGCCCAGCAGGTGTACCTCAGTGGTTGAGTGTCGACCCATGAACCAGGAGATCACAGTTTGATTCCTGGTCAGGGCACATGCCCAGGTTTCGGGCTCAATCCCCAGTCAGGGGCATGCAGGAGGCAGCCAATCAATGACTCTCTCTCATCATTGATGTTTCCATCTCTCCTTCTCCCTTCCTCTCTCTGAAATCAATAAAAACATATAAATAAATAAAAAGACAGTACATCATTCACATCTCACTCATGCTAGAAAGTTGAACAGACACCTTTCAACCGAGTCAGGTGTCAACAAGAAGCCTCTCTACCAGACAGGTGGAGGGGGCTAGCCCTGCCCACTTCCACTTCAGAGAATTGACTCGGCTCCTCCCCTTACACCAGCAGTTCTCAAACTGTAGCCAGCATGAGAATCACTTACAGGGCTTGTCAAACACTTCTGGCCCCACCTCCAGAGTTTCCCAATCAGTAGGACTGAGCTGGGGCATTCCTACTAAGTTCCTGGATGTGTTGAGGGGCAGGGACCACACCCTGAGAATCACTATCCCTGGCCATGCTGATGGGCCCGGGCATATCTTAAACACTGATGTCAACAGCTCACCAGTCCCCAGCTGTGGCTCCTGACCCAAACTGGGCATCAGAGTCAAGGACTACCCACCCCCAGATGGGCATATCCATGTGGCCTGATGCCCTGTTCCAGGCATTTGAAAGTGCAGTGGCAGTCTGAGCTGGAAAGCCATGAAGAGTTGGGGTCATAGGGGGAAGGGTGAAACACCATTCTTGCCAAAATTCAGAAAGGAGGGCAGTCTTAAACTGGCAGTCCTCAGCTGTGTCCACCTTGCAAATGTTTTTCGAAAAATGTGAATTATTTGTCAATATTTGAAAACTGGGAGGATTGACATAAAAGTAATGATTTCCAGATTATTTTGAAAACAGAATATTTGAATACAACTGGGCCTACAGTCGCTGGTGACAGTAACTGGCTCTAGGTGAGTTGTAGCTGCCCTCTTTAGGTGGGGCACACACTCTCCAGGCCACCAGGTTCCCACCAAGCTCACTCCACCTGTTCAAAGGCTCTTGCAGGCATTTGAGAGTGGAGACTGAAGGAGAAAGCAGGACAGAGCAGCAAGGAGAGATGCCATGAAGTTGGGAACAAAGAGCAGTGGCCCCAGAAAGCTTCCAGCTTTTGTTGACCCACCAAGCTACCCCACCTATTCACACCAGCCTTGCTTTCTTGCTTGAGCCAGTCAACCAAAAGCCTCCCCACCAGCACCCTGCAAAATCAGTCATAGTCAGCCTCATCTTTGCAGGCTCAGACCTGCTGCTGGATGCCATGGTGGCCCACACTGCCCTGTTACCAGGAGGGCACCTGTTGATGTCATAGCTGTTTATTTTTAACAGTTGGGATAACCTTAAGCTGCTGAGAGAACGAAGGAGTGGCAGGGCTGACTGTGACCACCTATGGGCCTGGCCATCGCAGGAGAAGCAACCAAGGTAAGGTGAAGGAAGAGGTTTGGATCTGAGTTAGGCCAAGGCCTGGGTTAGGTGCATGCACTCCTAGGTCTGTCCAGCTGAAGGGACATTCTCAGAAGGCAGGCAGGGTCTCTAAGCTGCATTTCTGCTGCAGTCCATGGAGACCCAGATCAGCATGGCAACCCAAGGGATGTGCACCTTTGCCCAAGATGGGCCTCCTGCCCCCTTCTTTCTTCTCCATCTATTGAACACCTATTCATCTGTCAAGGACCCATCTCAAATCAGCTTCAGGGATGACCCCTCTGACCGCCCTGCCCTATCCCCCACCCACACTCTTAGCACGCTTGGTTCTTATGGACAGGACTTCTCAGACAACTGTGCACTCCTCCAACATAGCACTTCTCACACTATGCTACACGCTTGGTCACCAATGTGTCTCCCCCATTAAACTGGGAACTCACAGGAGCTTGTCAGTTTCATCTCTGGAACTCCAGGCCCAGCAAAAAGCGGGTCCAAAGAGGGCCTGGGGGGCAGGGTGAGGGCAGGAAGGGAAGGTTAAAGTCAGCCTCTAACAGGGCTCAGAGCCAAACAGCTGTGTGAAAACCTGAACTCAGGAATCAATCCTTCTGAAATATGCCTCGGCGTTGCAGACACCCCTGAGTTCCTGGAAACACTTAGCTCTCTGAGAAAGAAATCCCTATTGTGTATATGTGTGTGGTGGTGATAGTGAGGGTGTACAGGAAAGTGTTTAATTTGGTAGATAAGAGCTTGAGCACCAAAATTTGGCTTTAAGTGAATACATTGGTCTTGTCACTTATCAACTGGATGACCCTGAGCAACTAACTGACCCCTCTTTGTGTCCCACTTTTTCCATCTATAAAATGAGAATTTTCTTTGCCCTACTTCATAACATCCTTGGGAGGATTGAAGAGGACAATGAGTTCTTAGCAGATGAGGAAACTAGGCTCAGAGAGGTTGCAGCAACTGCCCAGTGTCATACAGCAAGTTGGGATAAAAATCAGCCCACCACCAGTCAGTTCTCCAGGCTCCTCAACCAATGCTGTTGTGTTTTCAAGAAACGATGTGGGAATTCCTGCCAGGCACCCAGTTTACCCTTTTTACTGCTGGAGCCTGAGTGGGAACAGGGCAGCCTCTTGCCCACAGAGTAACAGGGATCAAAGACTTCCTCAGCCCTGCCTGGGACTTCCATTTGCAGTTACTGCTCGCCTCCAAGAGCCAGAGGACACAGTCTCAGCTTCATTCCAGAGAAATCTGAGAGGCAACTCAGTTGAAACACTGGGCCACATGGGTGCCTGGACAGCTGGTCAGCAGGACCCAGCCTCCCTGGTATTTGGACTTTAAAAATAGACACCATCCTCATATGCTTGGGTCATTTTAAGTGTTCTCATGGCCTCTGGCAGAGCTGGCTGAAAGGGCTTCTTAGGCTGTAGGTGGCAGGACCAACTCCTTCTCCGGGAGACTAGACCTAAGGTCCTAGAGACAGTGGTGCAAATCCCCTCAGCTGCGTAATCTCAGGCAAGTCACTTCACCTCTCCAAGCCTCTGGAGAATAGGAAGAACAATCATTATCACCCAGGTGGGTAGGTGGACTGATGAGATTACACTGCAGAGCACAGCAGGGAGCCCGGGACACAGAAATCATTCACAGAACATCTACTGTGTACACAGAACTGGCTCTGGGAGGCAAACGGGAAGTATACAGCTCCGTGGTCCAGGAGCCCTGGGTCTCCCAAGGCTAAGATGTGACTTAGCAGAAACATGGGCAGAAGAGGTGTGGGAGCTCAGAGTAGGTGCCTAACTCTGTCTGGGTGTCAGGAGGCATCCCAAACAGGTGACAATTGAGTAGGAGCTAGCCAAATGAAGGGGGAAGTGAAGGGAGGCACAGAACTTCCAGATAAAGGCCCAGAGTGGGGAGAGAGCACGGCAGATTTTTGATGCACACCGAATCATACATGTCCATTTATTAAGTGCTTACCTGGTACCCACTAATCTAAACATTCCACATGCGTTAATTAACTCATTTCTTCCTCACACCAACCCTCTGAGGTGGGTTCCATTATTATCCCCATCTTATAGAAACAAAAGCTGAGGTTCATGAGGGGTTAAGCAGCCTTGTGCATGGTCACACAGCCAGTAAGTGGTTGGGGCCAGGATCTAAACCCAGGACTATGGCTCAAAGGCTCTACTAAAGCTGTATTAGAGGCTCTTGAGGGGTGTTGAGAAATGGGTTTCAGGAGAAGGCAGAGGGTCAATCTCCTCACCTGTGAGGGGGCTGGAATCAGATGGCCTGCTAAGATCTTGGCCACTGTATTAGACTGACTTGTATTTGGACCCAAAGTCCTCCACTTCTTAGCTCTGTGACTGCAACCTATCCCTTTCAAGCCTCTAGGCCTCGGTTTTCCTATCTGCAAAATGGGAATAAAGTGATAGAATGTTCAATAAGTGGATGCAGCTATAGTGGTCTCTGTGGGCTCCTTTCCTCTCAGTGGGTACAGAACTGGCTGTATGACCATGGGACATACATCCCTTCACCTCCCTGGACCTCAGTCCCCCACCCTCACCCCACCTTCAGCATGAGGGAGCTGTAACCAGAGGTTTCCTCCATTCTTTTCAGCCCTGTTCCTGTGTGGCTCAGTGATGCTGGGAGAAGGAGGAAGAAGAGGAGTGGGCACGCAAAACCTCGAACCCCTCGCCCCAACCATCGTCTACCTGTGCCTGCAAAGCCACTCAACCCAGCCCCCTCCTTCAAGCTGTCTGGGAGCAAGCCTGGGATGGGAGGGGAGGGGACCGGGTGCCCAGATGTGCAGGGAGGAGGCCTGGAGTGATTCTGAGAAGAGCGCGGAGCTAAGGGTGCTGAGGTTATCAGAGAAAAAGTCACCCCTGGGATGTGATCCCGGGAAGGGGCCTGGTTTCAATGCGAGAAGGCACAGGCAGCGCCGGGCGCTTCAAACGCGCGGCGAGGCGAGGGCTGGGCACGAGGGAAGCTAGAAGAGGCGAAGTCAGGGTGCAGGGGCGGAGCAGCTCCGATGGGGGACACGAGGCAGGGGCTGAAGTCCGCTCGGCCGCAGGTGAAGCCGGGATCAGCGTCGCGGAGGTCAGGGCTGCAACGCGGGGAGAAGCCGAGCGGGAGCTCCCGCGGGGGCGCGG